GGCTGGGGCTTGTATCTTACCCCCTTCACAAGGCGCTGGGTTCTTGCAGGTGTGGATGTGGTCTGGATGTTGTCCTGTGTCCTGTGGTCTCTATTTTAGGAAGATTTTTCTTTGTTATATTTTCATAGCTCTATGTGTTTTTGGGAGGAGATTTCCACTGCTCTACTCACGCCGCCATCTTGGCTCCCCGAGCAGAAGGCTTTTATGGAGTGCTCTGGGATCACACCTGTGGAAGGGAAGGAAAAAGAATTGGGAAAAAGAAAATTATTGTGATGATGCAAAATCCACAAAGATTTTAGCTTACCCCACAGGGAGCTCTGAAGCTGAGATGCGCCTTGAAAGCTGTTCTGAGATGGAGCAAATGTGCCAGGCCTTTACACCCACACACTGACCAATCACTGAATTTGAGCTGCCTCAGGAAGTGGGCATGACCCAGACAAGGTGAATCTCTTCACTAAGGCAGTTCCCAGACAAAGCCAGCAGCGGAGATCTGCTGGCCAGAGGCACTCCCAGAGGTTGGAGAAAACAGTCCTTCCTTCCTAAAAGGGGAGCTGGGTGGTACCTACACAGCACCCACTACACCACCCCACACATTCACCAGTTTGAAACAGCCCCCACTTCCCAGGAGTTTTTCATTTTTCTCTTTTTCTTTCTAAGTCTTCAAGATTGTAGGAGGGAAGGAGGATGGGAAGCCAGTAGTCAAGGCTAGTTCAGCATTTCGATGGGGACCACAGTGGCCACAGCGTACTTATGCTCCTGAGGAACTATGTAGCTCATTTCCTTTCTTGGTGTGTTATGTCGCACATGATCTGTCACGACCCTCTGGGGCAGATTTTCTTTAGTTGACTTGTTCACTCTAGGTCTTAACTCTCTTGCTTACTGAGAGCTTAAATTTTCCTGGGAGGCTGAAGCTAAGTGAGTCTCCTGAAGACCAACCAGAGCTGAGCAGAGGAGCACTGTGGTCGAAGGAGCCTCCCCTGAGGGCTATGTGGAGACCCAGGCCCTCAGGCAAGGGGAATGGCAATATTTTCCATAGGACCAAAGTCTGTCCTCTGAGCCCCACAGAAACCCCCACTCACACCTAGATACCCACCTCAGAGCAAGTCCAGACTTGGTTTCCAACAAATTATTCTGATGGCAGCATGAGGAGAGGGTTCAAGGGTAGGTGCCACTGGAGACAGAAGCCAGTTAGATAATTGTGACAGTGAGGTAGTTTTAAATGACCACAAATTCTTTGATACTCCATTACTCAAGAACTGGAGCCCAATTCCCCTTCCTTTGAGTGGAGGCTGAATTTAGTGACTTGCTTAAGGAAAAGCACGAAAGCACAAGTGAGTGTGTATGACTTCAGAAACTAGGTCACAGAAGTAAGCGAAGTAAATAAACAAACATAACAAAAGTTACTCCTCTGTCAAGAAATGTATTAGTGAAGGAAAAGAGTAATATACTAGTGCTGAGACAGGCTATCGGGGTTTTGTACATCCTAATACTAACTATCCATAGCTCTTGTCCTTTTCCTTTTCTAATTTACTTTGTTAACTTTTGTTGAACTCTCGTTAATCTTTGCTTTGGAGCTATCATTTCTGCCAGCTTAGCAGGCAGCCCTCTCCTCAAAATAGAATTACCAGGCATGAAATTTATGTGGACCCAATTTAGCCTGTTGGAATATTGGGTAAAATATAAGGCAATTCCTGCTTGGGAAACATGAGAAATGCATGATTCGAGATGAAGGCATAAGTCAGATCTGATTCTTAGGTGAGACATAAACCATGATTCTATCCACGCAGATGCTTCAAACCCTACCAAATTCTTGCAGGGAAAAAAATATAGGCGTAGAATTAAGGGTGCAGGTTCTGATTCTGGCTCCTGCAGCTCACTCCTGTAATATCCTGGCATTGTTTCCTTTTCCTGACCAGGGGTCAATGTTTTCTGCCTGTCATTCCAAACACTCAGAGAAGTCAGCCAGCAGAAAGACTGAAGAGCCAGGAGCGCACCATAGCTTTCCTTCTTGAACGAGCCTTCCGCATCAAGGCAGACATCGCTGCTTGTCTTCAGGCGACCCACGGCTTTCGAAAAGAGGAGTCACTCGCCAGGAAGCTACTGGAAAACCATATCCAGACCATCACCAGCATTGTTAAAAAACTCAGCCAAAACATTGAGGTAGTTCTTTATTTCCTATATGTTGGCAGTATTGGTTGGCAAGGCATCAATGTCATTTTACAACTACAGAAATGAGTTGCTATTGTTTAAGTTTAAATGATTACAATATAGTTTACCCAGAGGGAAACAGTCAAAGTTTTCAACTGCTCATTTATGCCACAAGAGAAGGAAATTCTATTAAAAACTGTTCAGTGAGTATCTATTTTGTGACAGCAAACCCAATTGTTAAACATTATGTCAGACATTATGCTAAGATTCTTATTTTAATCTAAAGTTCCAAGATTCTACTTATGTGATAATTTCAAAAAGAGGTTGTCATAATGCATTGGGAATGATGGCTCATGGGTCCATCACAATATGACTGCAAAGATTTCTCTGGCCCCATCTCCCAACCCTCTCTCTCACTCTAGCCGCACTGGCCTCCCAGATCTTTCTAGAACATACCAAACATGCTCTGGCTACAGGGCTTTTGCACTTGCTTTTCACTCTGACTGGATCATCTTCTCCTAGATATTCCTATGATGTTCTTCATTTCCTTCCGGTCTCTCTGCTCAAAGATCACTTTATCAGAGAGATTTCTTTGACACTCTACCAAATAGCACCCCTCCCAATGCCAACAATTCATTATCTCCTTTACACACACACACACACACACACACACACACACATACACTATCTCTATGACACAGATCACTGTGATAAGCAAACTACCATGGTCTGTATTGGTTTACTATTTGTTTTCCTCTTCTAAAATATAATCTCCATGAGGGCAGGGACTTGTTTTGTTTCACTGCTAAATCCCACACCAGGTGATGACAGAGCTTAGTAGTTAGCATTTTGTAAAAATTTCCTGAGTGAATGAATGAATGAATGAATGAATGATGTTTAACGTACTGAAGGAAAAATAGGGTTTCTGATAAAAAAAAAAATGCTTGAGTTAAACCAAGATAATAGTGTTCTACTGCAATTTTTTCCAAGCAGTTAAAGGTGCATGGACACAATGGATCTGTGGAGGCAACTTCTAGACAAGGATTCCAGAGATTACATTTTAGGAAGTTGACCAAAAATTTGTGGAATTATCATGAGAAAACTGATGACAATGCCCTCCCACAATACATGTCCTCTTCTACTATCAGCAAGAATAGTGGATCTTACAAAATAATAGAAAACTTATGATTAACCCAGCAATGACTTCTTCGTGACTTTGAATATTTATTAATTTATTCTCTATCTCTAGGGTCTGGAAAAACACATAATGCATTTGGAGGCATGTGGAAAGTTACAAAATCTTAGCGAGGTTTTAAAAGGCACTTTATTGGTATTTAACATGTATTAAATTTACATCAGTGCCTAACAAGTCAATGCCATGTCTCAAAGTGGTTGAAGGTGTTTCTACTTATAGTAAAGGGCCATGAAAGTTACAACAGAAAGCAGCTCAATGCCTTTGATTTAATGAGAAAATTAAGTAAGCACAGCATTAACACTAAAATAAGATCCTAATTTAGGAGTCAAAACCTGTTATTTACTGAAAAAAGAACAGTATTCTCAGAAATGTATCAAAATGCTTCTGGAATGTTCTATATTTTGATCTAAAAGGTGATGGTGACATGGTTACTTTGATTTGTACCTTTTAATACATATTAATTATACCCCAACAAAATACTTTTAACATTAAGGGGGAAAAGTTCCCAGATCTCTAGAAATCTTGCTAAGCACTTCTTTTCCTACAATAATTGATTATCTTAGATTAGCTTTGAAAAAAGAAAAAGCCAAACATTTTCCAAAAACTGTAAAATCTCAAAATATTTGCAATCCTGTTCAAGAGTTTGGCATATATAGGGAAAATAAGGAGGACGGGTCTGTGTAAAAAGCTAAACTAGAAAATATTTTAAAGGCTTAGATAATTAAACATAGTTAGACACATAGTTTAAACATAATTAAGACATGATGGAGAAAAAAACTACTAACTAACTATAGTTAGTAAATGGCTAAGACTCTAAAATTTTAAGCACCTTTAGAGAGAGGGATGATATTTAAGTGTTTTTTAAAAACAAAGTCATCCATCAGGTTAGCCTGTTTGCAAAATGGCTAGCAAGAGAGATACAAGTGTGAGCTGAAGCTTGACAGGTCTTTAAAAGGAATGAAAAATGATTGTTTTTTAATCAACTGTAATTGCAGCAGTTAACTTGCTTGTTCCTTTAAAAAAACCATTTCTTTTTTAAGCTGGCAGCTAATTACAAGTTTTAAAATTTATTTTTAATCTCGAAAGAGAATATAATATTGCTTTATTCTGTCCCTCCCACCCCCCCAACTCATAAAAGCAATTCTTGCTCATTGTAATTATTTTAAAAGTTTAGGGAAAAAGTTGAAAACCTGTGGAAAAAACTTCTCATAATTTCACCACAAAATGGCAGTTTCTACAAACACCCGGATGCATTTCCTTTTAGTCCTTCCACACATTACATTTAGGAGTCTGAGATTACATTTGTAAACATAATCTTTAACATAAAATTATATCATAAACTTTCAAATGTCATTAAAAGCACTTTGCATTGTGCATACCCCATGATTTGCTTAATTATCTCCTAATATCGAAATATCTTTGTGCATAAACGTATTTGGATTACTTCCATTGCATTTATTGTGAGAAATGTTATTACCAGGGTATGAATGTTGTGAAAGCTTTTGATGCTTGTTGCCAAATTAGTTTCCACAAAGTTTATACCTATTTACCCTTCCATTAGGATTAGATGAGTGCTCTTTCACTGTGCCTATGCCAGCATTGAGATTTATTGTTTTAACTTTGCAAATTTGATGGGATAGAAATGAGAGCTTTTTTTTTTCCCATTTTTAAAAAGTGGCTATAACAATTTGCATTTTCTCTGTCAATAATCTGGTAATGTCTTTTGCCAATTTATCTTTGAGATTTTAGAGCTTTTTAATTCTTATTGATTTGATGAGTTTTTGTTATTAATTAAGGATAATAACCAGTGGTACTTTGGTAAATGTTTAACAATCAGCAATCAATTTTTGGAGGGGATAAAAACCTGGTTTACAGTGTATGCCCATTTCCATGATCTAAGTACTCTCACTATGATTTATTTCAAACACCAAAACACCAAACACAAAGATGTAAAGAAGTAATGTACAACTGGCTCTCATGAACAAGTGCATGCTGATTGTAGCACACCACTGAAATCCTTAGCAATAACATTTGCTATAAATGTTTTTCCAGTTTGTTGTTTATATCTTATGTTTACAATGTTTTTACAAGTTTTATATAAAGTTAAACATCCCAATATATTGCTTTGTAATTACAAATCTCTCACTTAAGAATAGAAATTTTATTCAAAGAGTGAAATCATCTCTATTACTGTTATTTTTATGGCTCAACATTTTACTTTTATTTATAAACTATTTTTTAAAACTATATTGATGTATGACATGAGGTAAGGATCTAAACTGATTGTTTTCTAAATAAGTAACCAGAGATCCCAATACCATTTGTGAAATTGCTCCTTCATTGATTTGTGAGTCTCAAGTATAGCGTTATTTCTTCCTTACACTTGACAATGTCTTCATTACATTCCATTGATCTTTTAAGCTATACATACCTATTTAGGTACACTAATTTACTTAGCCTTGTTTCACACAATGTTTTAGTATTTAGTAAGGAAGGTTCCCTTTCACTACTATTATTTACCAAAACAAGGCAGAACACCTACTGCAATGGTCTGATGTCTGTGTTCTCCCAACATCCAAATTTCGTATGTTGAAATCTAATGCCTAATGTGATGGTGTTAGGAGGAAGGACCTTTGAAAAGGGCTTAAGTCATGAGGGTGGAGTCCTCCTGGGTGAGATCAGTGATCTCATAAGAGACCCCACAGACCTCCCAGGCCATTCTACCGTGTGAAGACACAGCAAGTAGTAGGCAGTCTGCCACCTGAAAGAGGGTCCTCACCAGCAACCAGACTTGTGTGCAACTGGTTTTGGTCTTCCAGCCTCCAGAACTGTGAGTAACAAATTTCTGTTGTTTATAAGCCACTCATCCTGTGGTATTTTGCTATAGAAGCCCAGACAGACTTAGACATCTGCACACATGCAAAAACAAACAAATAAAAACAAAAAAACTGTAGTGTTTTTGACACTTTTACGTCTTCATTTAAAGTTTTATTTGTTCTTGCATTGTCTCAATCTGCCAGTCTACAAATGGCAAAGATTCTTTATATGGTTTTTGAAATCTCTGTAATTCGTTTGCCACAAAAATCTTTTCCTTGAGAAATTCATAAACATAGGTTTAAACATAGTTCAGGTCTTGGTCAAATATAATAACTAACCTTGAATGTTTCCCTAAATTACAAATTTGAATTTTCCAAAGTCCTACACTCTCACTTTTTCTGAGTAAATGCAAATTATTTTTTATATGTCTTCACTTTACACTGGAATTGATTTGAATATAAAGATACAACTTTTTCTATGGACCAGCAGGTTTTATTTCAATTTTTCAATTAATACTTTTATATGAGCTCGGAAACATTTAAAACTAATGTTGGGACTACCAACCGGTGGTACAGAACAGGCAGCTCTATTTTAGAACACCACGACATATGGAAGACGTGACTAAGAATACTCAAGGGAAAAATCGAACACACTCTAGCCATAAAACACTCATGTTCTCTAAAAAATTGAGAACAACAAACCTTTTTCATTACATGTGTGTGAACACTGGTTCAGATTTGCTTGTGTTAGTTCTATTAGCTTCACTGTGGTTCTGATTCAATCTGTAAAGGGCCTTGCTAATGTCACATGAAGGATCCCTTTTTCTAAACTTACCACCAATTCTGAAATTGGTTTTTGTGAAAAGCTTTTATATCAATGATGGCCAAATGGCAACTCATGTGCATAACAGTGCCTAAGTATGTTTTGTTTGGTCCATATAGTATTTATAAAATATTTTGACTAAGATGTCAATATTAAAAGTTGAGAGATTTAAAATAAAATAAAATCTGCGGGTATCTGGCTCTTGTTGAACAGTGCTGAACTATCATTCACACCTGGAAGCAATCAGGCTGTTGCTGCCTCCCTCAGACAAAGCAGGGATCCCTTCTCTCGGGCACAGGACTCTCTCACTCATCTGCACGATCAGCCTAACTAGGAAAATCCACTTGATTTGGTAACCTCTTCTTTAAGTGATATGATCTTACCATGTATGACAGGAAATTAATGGGGATTTTAACTCAAAATTACAGATTTTAGAAGACCAAATAAGAGTTCGAGACCAGGCTGCCACAGGAACTAATTTTGCAGTACAGGAGCTAAACACCAAACACCTTCAAGGTGTTGGAGATCTTCGAGGAAGAGTGGCCAGGTAAGCAGCAGCACATTTACTAACACTTAGCAGTCAGGCCTTGGCCACTGATTCTCATTCTCAAGTAAATTTCATATTGCAGAAAATAAGTTACTGTCTTTTTATTGAGCTAAACTGATGAGAGGTGGTAGTTGAGAAAGTATATCATTGAATTGGAAAGCCTCATGCTACCCACTGGATCTGATGGTTCTATTAAAGACCCCTTGTATATACTGAACGTCCAGTTTGGTTCCATGTGCAAGTGATGAGAGTATTAACTTTACAGTCCTCAGCTCTCCAAGTGCCAATATCTACACACTCACTCACTCTCACAGCCACATATAAAATCCCCAGATAAATCAAATACTGATAAAAATATTTTCAAAATACAAGAATTACATATTAAAGTCTTAATAAAAGGGATTTACTCCCAAATGAATAAAATGTTGAGCAACATCTTTCATATAAGATTTTTAAATAAAAAGAATGGTATACAGGTCAGCAAAAATCTGTAGGTATGTATAGTGGCAGGACCACTCCAGTAGACATCAATGATGACTTGTGAATGGCTGGCCATGGACACCTTTCCATGCCTACATCTTCCACCAACACCTTTCCCTTCTCCCAGAATAGCCCCACCTCCAACTTGTTAATCTGCTCTGAAGTATTAATGACCAAATAAGAATTAGGTGATTGACACATAAGACAAATCTCTCATAGGATAGCTGTCCATTCAACAAAAAATGTACAAAGCCATATGTCATATATGCTATATAATCATATGCCATTCCTATAGCTGTACAGTCTACCTGGGAAAACAAGCTCCAAATACAAGCAATCAAGTGAACAAATAATGAAAGCCTGGGGTGCTATGGGACTATCTGAATCAGACTGGGCATAGGGAAGGCTTCCTGGAGGAGGTAACACTTGAGATGAGGTTTGATTTGTAGCAGTTAGCTAGACAAGGAAGGGTGGGAAAGGTACTTCACACAGGTGGAATAACATATGCAAAATAACTCAGGGATAAATTACTATGACTTATTCACAGGCCTACCTGTAAGAAGAATATTTTAGTTATGATATTTTGGGGTTTGCATTTAAGGGAGAGATGGGATACTGGGAGATGAAGTTAGACAAGTGGTCTAGACTTGGATGATGAGGGATCTTGTGAGCTAAGTAAAAAGTATGAACTTTATGTGTAGAAGGTTATAAATAGCCGTGGGAAGATTTTAAGTAAGGGGGGTGACATATTTAGTGACATTCTAGTAGCTAAATTTGGCTACAGAAGGAGGGCATGAAGATACAAGGAAGCCTGTTACAGCAGTCAAGGTGAGAAATGTCAACGGCCTAAAGCACTAGCCATGAAACACCAGAGCAAGTAACAGATATTAGAACCAGATTCTACAGGATTAGTACCTATGTATACATACACATGCACACACATATACTGTACAGTATTTCCTACCCATTTTGATGTGGGTATTTTCTTAGTTGACCAACATGTAAGGGTCTCTAGTTTCTCGGTTTTTCTTAGAGGAAATTGATCTGTGTGTAGCTGTTCATTTGGTGCAGCCACTGAGAAAGGGAAAATCAGGCGCCTCCTGTTGTTCAATCTTGCTCTCCAATTGTTCAGTTACCTTCCCCTTAAATCTTAAGGACTGATTTTAGGAAAAGGCCTTATTTTCCCTTGAAATGTCTCCCTTTTAGGAAAACTACTTAAATCTATTTGGTAATCAGAGACAGAGTCTGGCTAAAAGCCATGACTTAAATTCACCCTTCCTCTCCTGCTTCTTTCTATAGTTTTGCCAGGCAAGTGACTGACTAATGGACAAGGTGAGACAGATTAATTACTGTCTTTCAACATATATTGACCTTAATTCCAATTAGCATTTTGGCATAAGTGAAACTAAGTTCATTATTTTAACAATTCCTATCAAACACTTTACTGCTTCGTAAATCAAACTTAGTAGTTGATAATGATGATATGCTTTAAATTTTACACCTTTCCCACCCCAATATAGTGGCAATTTAAAAGCAAGTACTTCCAATGAGATGAAGTTCTCAAAGTTGTCTGCTTGCCTTTGACACCCTCTCCTCTATTTGACAGATGAGTCTCAAGTTCAAAAACAATGTAAGTATGTGAAAGGCACCCAGAGGGATAACTATGACTTACCATCTGTAGCAGCCACAGGAGCCAACCTTCTAGCCATACTTGGCTATTTGGAACCTTAAGGCAGATTTGCATATAGAAAAAATGATAAATTGTGTCTATGTGTGATTAAAAACACCAGTCATGTCCTTTGAAGAAAAATCGATAATATGGATATTGTCAACTTTCTGAAAAGGGAAGGACATCTGGTAGAATAAAGACATTTTTACTCCACTCCTCTTACTTGAGTTGTAAATGCCAGTTAAAAGTAAAAGAAGGGAAACAAAAGCTCTATCTTTAATGTAACATGGAAGTTGCCATAACTGCTAACTACAAAAGAACACACTTTCAAATACTGTGATGTTTGGACTGACAGAGTCCTCTTCAGACCCTTAAACCTAACCATTTCCTTCAATCAAGAGGCATAATCCTAAAAGGCTAGGCCAGATAATCTGAACAAAGCAACCTAGGGACTTGGGTGGGTCAGAGGAGAGATAGGAAATGTCCCTTTAGAGATTCAGATCAGTGACACAGAACAACTAGGAATGTGTAAGTGAAGATGCAAATGTGTTATTTCATCTAGGACCTCCCTCCTTGCCAATTCATGCCTGAGAAAAATGTTGAAGTACAACAGGCTGAGGAAGGAGAGGAGGCCTGCAGTATCAACAGAAAATCTAGGACATAATGATTTGCTTGTGAGATACATCAATCTGATTTTTGAAGAGAAAATGGGGAGATATGCCCGCCCCACGAGGCCTGAGGAAATAACAGATTTGATGCTATAAGCCTGAATAGCAGATGTGTCTACACCCCATGAAGCAAACATTCAGTGAACTGCAGGTAGGCAGAATCATTCAAAGAAAGAATGTGGTTTGGAAGAGTAGAGTGTGTAAACAGAAATCACTGCCATGACTATCCATCAGTGGGTGGACGGATAGATGGATGGATAGACAGAGACATAGGCTGATGAACATACCTCATGAGAGGAATTACCCAGAAAGACACAGGAAGTGTTCAAACCAAAGTTTCTCCTGATTTCAAAGAGATTAAGAGCAAAAGAAACAGATAGAAGAAGATTGCTGACTGAATACTCACATGTAATTTTGCTCCTTCCAAATGCCCCTTTAAACAAGTAATATACTTTTCCTCTTAAAATATACCTACCAAAACAGAAGATATCAGCTTAGAAACCTTGGAAACTAGATAGCAGATGGACACGTGGAAACTGACTTAGACATAATAAAACCAATTCTGAAGCTGTGGGATAAGCTGAGAATGACTCACTTTACACCACAGAATTCTCAAAGCCTTAGGAGTTGGCTGCACCAGGAACCTCTGAAACTGTGGGATAGGCAGGCACTTATCTCTAGGGAGTGGAACTGAGAGAAGTAGGGAGAGGCAAAGCAAGGAACCACTATAGCTTGTTATTAGCCTTTTAATTTTTATTGACTTCTAAACTTTAGCAATGTTTTTACTTTGATAAAATTCAATTTTAAAAATAAGAGGTAAAAGGGTTCCCCCCCAAAAAGAGATTATCAGATAACAAAAGGAGATAGATAAACTGGAATTGTTCAGGTATAAGATGAAAGAAAAAAATTATAATATTGTAAAGATTAAATATACTTTAGAAAACTCACAAACAGAATAAATACAACTAAAAATAGTAATTTCTTTTAAAAAAACAAGCATGAGAAAGACATAAAAAATGAAAAGAAAATGCTTTTTCAATATAAAGATGATTGTAGAGAAATGATACATACGGCAGACAAATAAAACTCATTCAACATAGACCTAATAGGAACTCCTGAAGAAGAAGCAGAACAAATTCCTCAGGAAAAAAAAAAATTCTGGGTGTAAGAGAAGTTGGTTTTTTGAAACACAGATTTGAGACTTTAGATCAAAAGAGAAAAATATGACCTCAGAAAAAAATGATAAGAACAATTAAATCAAGATACCCTGGTTGAAGTTAGTGAACATCAAGAATAAAGAATCATTTAACAACCAAGCAGACAAAACAGATCACATAAAAGGAAAAAATGTAGTTACCTTAGACTTCTCTTCCTCAACCATTGCCAAAAAAGAATGGAGCAATGTTTACCATGTTCTGAACAGAAGAAAAAGTGACCCAATAATGTTATCATTACCCAGTTACCTTTCAATGTAAGTAAGGAATGGACAGGCATTCTCAAGTACCCAAGAACTTGAAGATTCTATTGCTCATGAGTCCTTGCTTTTTGAAATCTAGAAATCTGGATGACAAAATCTGACCAGTCAAGGAGTACATTTAAAAATGGATCTCAGAAAAGAAATTTTAACTTTAAAGGACTGTCTAGTAACACAGAATTTAAATATAGAATGAAGATTAAATAACAGTGGGAAATCTAGTTACAGAACACTGTAAATGTCATAAAATTTGACATTTAAAAAATAGCAAAATATTAAAAAACTACAAAAAGCAAGCATGTAACTCATTTTCTCATTTTCTGACATATGGTCAATAAATATCTAAACTTGAAATTGTAGTTATAAAAGTATAATGATTCTAATTTATGATAGCTTTTTATAACACAAATATATCTGAAGTTCAGCAATTTCTTCATTTTCACTAGTTACCTTTCCTTAGGTTAAATTAAAATTCAGTGTAATATTTTTAACTAAAATTGGCATAAATAATCCAAATATTCTAAAATTATTTTTATTTCTATCTTTCTGTGTGTGCATATGTAAATAAAAACATACATATATATATATATTTATATAAATGTGTATATATGTGTAATATGCATATATATTATAATGGTAAAAGGAATAATAACCAAATAGTAACAATGATTATTTCTGAACAGTAAGATTTGGGATGATGTTAATTCTCTTTGATCGTTTTTGCATCTGTGTACATATTTCACAATGTGCGTGTGTTACTATAACAGATACAATAAAATCAGTCGGAAGAATGAAGAAAGAGAAACTTCCTTTTGAAATACAGAGTTCTCTTTGCCACCAATCCTCGAAAGGGTGTGGTCAGGCTGGTGGCATGGTGAGGGGAGTTGTAAATGAATAGGAGGCAACTCTCAGGCCGAGTAAATACATAGTAGCTGCTGATCTTGTGTGGATGCTTCCTCTGTGGCAGGTACCGGCTAAGTGCTTTGTGTTCACTACCTCCTTTTATCCTTAAGTAGCCCTATAAAGTAACATTTCTCAGGATAGCCACTTTCGCTTCTGAAGGTTGAACATGCAGCACTCTGGGAAACACTATTCACGTGTTGCCCATGTGTCTGGCATACCCTGGAGTTGTGTGGTGGACACGTTATGCAGCTACACACAGTGATTACCTCTTTCTCAGATAAGGAAAACTGAAACACATATGCAAGAAACTTCTTACAAACCTAGGAACAGCAAAAGCGAGATGAAAAGCCTGGTGGATCTGACAGTAGAGACCAAAATTTTTTTTTTAATAAAGATATCATTGATATACAATCTTATGAAGGTTTCACATGAGCAACATGTGGTTTCAACATATACCCCTTTATTATCATGCACCCTGCCCTCCCCTGAAGTCCGTGTCCATTAGCGTAGTGAGATGCTACAGAGTGGAGACCAAATTCTTAACTACTAGCCTACAATGCACAGACCAGCTGTCTTGAGGGTGGGAACCAGGTGGGAGTTGGGTGAGAGGTGTCAGGAAGCGGTGATAGCAGCAACTACCCCTGTGTAGTCTCTTGGGGGTCTCAGTGTGGACTCAGAGTATTCTAACTAACCAACTATAGCGATTGCTGTGACATCACCAGTTTATACATACAGATGGAATGGCTTTCACTGATGGTTTTGCTGCATACCTTCTGGCTCTCATTTTTTATCAGGTTAATTCATAATTTTTCCTCCCAGCAGTCTCCCCACCCAACATTCTGTCACCTGGTATCCCTTCAAGGTATTTCTCAGGCAAATTTGCCATCTTAACTCACTTTTGGTTCAACTTTGGTACCAAAAATCTTAAGAAATTCATTTCTGGATCCTACAAAATGTTGACAGTTATAAAACAAACAATATTTATAGCACTCAACATGACAACATGAAAATGAGGTTCCTAATACATAGTTTTTGATGACAGGCAGAACAGTTATTTCATAAAATGACAAACTTCAAAGTGATCTATGAAAACTTAGATGCAAATCATATTACCTTCCAGTGCTCTCCATCCTATCTTTCATGCATATATGTGTATGTTGAAATTGATAATACAGTAAATAACCTGCTCTCTCCAAAGAGAGCCTATGAGTGGTGGTAGTGGGGTGGGCTTCCCTGACATACTGGGAAGATAGTTAATCTTCAACTTCAATCCCATTTCACTGGAGTTCCTTCCTTAAATACCAAACAAAACCTTATGCACCAAAGCTTCATTCACATGTTAGTGCAAATTGCTGTTGTCCTAATATAAGACAACACCCTACTAAGACCACTCAAGGAGCAGGAGTTTTGTTTGGGGCTAAGAGGAGCAAAATTGTTTTTTATAGCTGGGTTGGGACTTTGGTGGGCTGGGACACTTTCTCTAGCCATACAAGAATCACCAATCTTGTAGCCAAATTAAGAGGCTAAAGGAAGGAAAGTGGATGTAGAACACAATACAGAAGATGAAAAAATTTCAATTTGCCTAACCATAGGCAGCAGCGAGTATTCCCAAAACCTCAAAATCTGTTGGAACTCCTGACTGAGTTAATACATGTGGCTGAAAATCTTAAATTTCCCCCTATTTCATCAACTCCAACTTAGTGCTTTGATTTGGACCAATTATCATTGCCCAACCTGGCTTCTCTCTCATCAGGAAAAGAAGAAAATGAAGGAGATTCTTATATATGCTCCTATATCCACCAACTATTCAAAGAACTTTAGAACTTTTGCCATCCCATGAATGCACAGATCTTACAGTGGTATTAGAAATGTTTGAGCCTATTGATCTTACACCCAATTTTCACCTTGCCACTAGGTGTGATTCCAGCATTGTGAAGCTTTCTGGAGACATTTACCTCATCAGGAATGAGAACCGGAGAATTGAAAAAACAATTCAAGAACTCATGTCTGCCCTAGAAAGTATTTCTAAGAACTTGGATATGAAGGTAACTGAAAATATTTACAACTCTTACATTATATGTTACTACCAGAAGTTAAGGTCCTTATAGCCTATCAGATGCCCATTCAAGTGCCAATTACTTAAAAAACTCTTTTTTAACAAAGGTTTTTAATTATGACACTCACGAATATACATGATGAGTACTCAGTTCAATCAACCAATATTTAAAGAACGGCTCCTGTGTCCCAACAGAGCCACCCACTGCAAGCACATGCTGGGAGATGTACTGCTGCCCTTAGCTCCTTAGTGTCCGGGCTCCCCTCAGCCACTGCGGGACTGGAGATCATAAGCAAAGGAGTTCCCACCAAAGCTATTATTATAAAAGGTCCAACATTAGTGTAAGTTCATCATGGTACAGCCCTGCAATGGGTTATGTCTCTTACAAAATCCATTGGCCTGGATTTTAAAGGCCATCTCTACCTGGGTTTTTTTTGGAATCTGAGAATTTCTTTACAGTTACATGTGTACTTCATTGTTGCAAATGTTTAGTGAGCAGTGGCAAGAAATGTGTGCTGCTTCCAAGTTAGATTGTTTGGTATGTTAATCTATTAAATGAACTATATTTTTCATATCATCCTATATCCTTATTTACATTTTCCTTATTCAACCAGTGAAGGATCAGTCATTTAGAATTACTAGTATGTCATCTCTGTTTGTTTAGCTGTGTAATTCTACAGCTACTGCTTTTTAGTTCAATATATACAGTAAATAAAAAGTTCAAAACCATTTTTCATTGTGGATTCTACTCCTCATCTATAAAATTGGCCATATTTGTCCCATTTAACCATTTTGTCTTGAGTAACATTTTATCTAATAATATTGCTGAACTGGCTTCCTTGTCCTTTGGTTTTGCCAGGCATGTACTTGCCTATTATTTTATTGTTAATAATTATGCCTTTAAGAGTATATCCCATAGATAGTCACTCATGTGCTATTGGTTGCCCACCCAATGTTTATCTATACAAACCTATTATTCACTTTTCTTTTCTAAGAAAACTTAAATTTTGTTAAATGCCATTTTCTTCCATATGACCATCTATTTCAAGATGTTGAATTCTGTTTGGCTACATGAGACAATCATGTAGTTTCATTCCTCTTTACAGTGATTAGTGTGACAGGCATGATTATGTACTGCAGTTCTGCATTGATTTTTCAACCCATCCTTTTATCTAAAGGAATTTCCTCAATGTTTCTGGCAATGTGGAAGGCAATATTACCCTAACTTCCAGAATTGGAACTTGTTTTGTCCTATCTTTACATGACTTAAGTCATTTCATTTGGGATTCACTGTGTTCATGTCAGAATCCAACCTGGAAATTCCTGAGGCCTAATCTTAGGCCACTCATGTATGTTTCTCTTGGAACCTAATTGTGTATTTAAACATTTATTCAGTAAGTATTTGGTAAGCATTTACCAATAGTCACCTAATGTGGGCTGAGGATAAATTGGCTTACACTGCAACTGGAGAGACAGCAAGTAAAAAAAAAAAATACACATTTGAAATTAATGATTTGATAAGCAAACAAATATCAATAGTATGTTTTTGTTATATCATGAGGTAGCCTATAATCAAAGAATATAGGTAGTAGAATGGAACATTTTCCTGTTATTCTTTCCCTGAAGATAGCTCTATAACTGTTGAATCATTTCTTTGCAAAAATAAACATTTTCAAATGCAAATGTGGTTTAGACTCAAGTCTATTTCCTGACTCCTTTAGGAATAAGGTATAATTAATGTAAGTGCTGCTGGTTTTGTTCACACACACACAAAAGCTCCCTTTTGCATTTTCATTAGGTAATGCAGCTCTTAGGGAAGATAGAAACTTCCAGTTCTGAGCAAACCTCAAATTTAAAGATGGTCCAGGGGGATTATCACCACCAAATGAACCTTTTGGAGTTCAAGTAAGTGAATGGAAGACTTTTAATTCTGCTAAATATATTCCAAAAGGTTTTTCCTCTGAAAGCATCAGCATTAAGTAAAAACTTATCCCAGGAATTTGAACTTGGCCAAGAAATAAGCACCAAAGTGCTGGACAAAGTATTCTAAAGTAACTTACACAATATTCATAATAAAACAAGAAATAGGAATATGAATTTATTTTCTTTGTTTATATAATATCTCAAATAAATTGATAATCAGCCTGACCTTTCCATCAATTGTATGTTAAAATACTGCAATGTAACACACTATTGAACATATATTGATTCCACAAGACTGTCAAGTAATTTTTAAAATAACTTTCATTTACAAGCTTTTAAGACTTCCTCTCGGCTCCTGTACTTGCTCCTTTACATTGTCCCTTTGGAAAGGCTGTTCTCTACTGCATCTTAGATAGAGATTTTCCCTACGCAATAGAGGAAACAGTTAAAGGAAGAAAGACTCCACAAACATTCAGATATACCAGCCTCCTTATTCTCAAATCCTCTTTTCTCGTTTAAATGACCTTCATTTCCTGGGAGCATGGTGCAGCGAAGGAAAATTCTAGTCACTTAATACTACCATATGCCCCTTCTACTCTTGTTCTTTTTCCTCTGTCCCACATCACTTGGGTTTAATACCCTGGTCAAACCCAGTATTCTGAATATACTCTGTTTCTCCATTTTCCCCTTTCTCTACTGTATTTCATTAAAACTAAGTACCATTGACTATAAAGTATACCATGTTTTTATACCTCTAAGACATGAAGCTAACAATTAAACCATTAGCACACCATCATTTTAAGACACCTCTCATTTCGGAGATGTTAAATTGAGAAATGTGTCCTAGAAACCGGTGAAAAACAGTAGTCATCACTACAACATGGAGAAGTAAGTGTCCTGAGTAAACAGAAAATACCCACTTTCTTCATACTCTAAAGAAGCATAATCTAGGTTAAGTTCTAGCACAATGACGATGTTCAGTAAGTATCTGTGTGGTGTTTGATTAATCCCTTTATCTTACAATTAAGATCAAGAAAACTGTACAAAGGAGAAATAGAAAAAATAAACTCTCTCTAGAAGTGCAGTTTAAGAATTTATTTTATTGTGGAAGAAAGGGAATTCCTAATTTGGAAAGTGAACACTGACTTAAATGGATGAAGTACATTAGCAAACAGAGAAGAGGGGGAAAATGAAATGTTTGAGACTTGGGCTAACTGCTCTATTTTATTTTATTTATTTTTTTGGATTGGTACATTTTATTTTTTTATTAAGTTGTCATTGATATATACTCTTATGAAGGTTTCACATGAAAAACATTGTGGTTACTACATTCAACCATATTATCAAGTCCCCCCCATCATACCCCATGGAAGTCACTGTCCATCAGTATAGTAAGATACCACAGATTCACTACTTGTCTTCTCTGTGCAACATTGTCTTCCCCGTGACCTCCCCACACCATGTGTACTAATAATACAAAAGTATCTCACATTATCCCAGTGAGGTCTCTGGCTATAACTAGAAAGTCTGCTTTTTGTGTTTTGGAAAAAAGAAAGAAAAAGTATCCATTCATCCATCTACCTACTTACCTATTTATACCTATCTACATCTTATGGAAATACTCCTATAATCACTGGAATAGAGGATTTGGGTATTAAAATGTGAATATCATCCCAAACAAATTCATTTTATTGAGATTTTCACTATAAGCTCTACTATTAACAGAAAAGTAATTTTTACATGAAAAATCATGTTCATTAGGAAAAAGTCTAAGGAAAGACAAAGATTTATATATACCTTTATTTTAGTTTATCCTTTTTATCTTTTGAGGAGAACGCTTTTTAAAAAATGCTTTCATATCTTACTAAACTATTAATAGACAGTCTGACTTTATTACCAGAACAGTGAGTCTCCAATTGCAGGCAATAAAAGGATCATAAGCAGCAATTCATTTTGTATGGCTTTATTTTAATTTTAGAATTTCACTACTGATATGCCCGTCTAGAGATATTACTTGGGCACATGCAGTGGATCTTTGGTTTTCAGAGGGATGTTAATATTATATCAGTGATGAGAGTAAATGCTCTCATTCATTTACACAGTAAAGGTGAACACTGAAGGCTGGATTCTTAATTGTAAAGCTACCTCTTGGTTACCTGGAGATTTACTGCTCTGCTTAACCATCACTATTAATATTCCACCAGAGACAGTGAAGGGGAGATGAAAATTGAATATTAGATCTCTAAATATCTTGACAAGTCCATGATTTATTAGTGAATAGCCCTGAAAAAAGGTATTGAGAAAGAATCATTCATTCATTTATTAAACAACTATTTATTGAACACTTTCTATATTTCTGGTATTGTTCACAGCCACAACAGCACAAAACCTTTGTATGGACCTTAGGTTCTAGTGGAGGAGACAGCACACAATTAGTATATATCACATGGCGATTAGCATTTTGGAGAAAAATTAAATAGGGTAAGGGAATAAATAGTGTGTGTCAGGTAGGGAAAAGAGGGTTTTTTTTTTTTAAGTGTAGTCAATTAAAAAAAAAAACAATTTCTGTGATAAAGTGATGCTTGAATATATATCAGAATAAAACGAGGGCAGAAGCCACCATATATTCTAAGGAATAGTGTTCCAGACACAGAAAACAGCTGGCTGAAATGAGGTTGTTCATGTATCAATTGGGGGGCTTTTTGTCCGAGCTCCCATAGCTGTTAGCCAGTAGCACAGCTGTTAGGGAATCACGGGTAGATTAAGAACAGGAAGAGGGATCAACTTCATCTTCTTCGCTGTTGAAGGTATGCTTCAACTGAATCAAGGCATGCTTTCTATGTGAAAAAAACCTCTACCAAAAAATGTTGTAATTCTGAGAGATGAAGATCAGAATTTAGCTATTATACTCCAACTAACGTAACTATTAGAAAACTAACTTTTCCGATTCCTTGACTTCATCTAAATACAGGTTTCTCAACCTGGGCATTATTGGTATTTTGGCTGGATAGTTCTTTGTGATGGAACTATCATGTTCCTTACAAGGATATTTCACAGCATTTCTCGCCTCTACCCACTACATGTCAGTAGCACCTCCCATTTGTGACAATAAAAATGTCTCCATACATTACTAAATGCCCCTTGATCTAAATAAAAATGGAAATGGCCTCATGTATTTATTTGTCTTTTCCAGTTAATAGTCCAAACATTTTTTCAGGAGAGCTAGAGAGGCATATACCCGCAGTATATGTCCAACATGTCTTAAGCAATTTCCAATGGTAAGTATCACAAACTAAATTATCTGCATACTTTTCCTGAAAATATAAAGCAGCTGTTATTTCAAAACACTCACACATTGTAAGGTAGTCGAATATTTTACATAATAAATGTGTTGTTCCTGCCAATCTAATATTTTGCCTATTCTAAAAGAGAATTTGCAATCGCATCTTACAATAAGCAAGTCACATGCAAACATATTCAGAAACCAGTTACCAGTCTCCACCCCTTGTCCTACCTCTTCTGTCATTCCAAATATGGCTTCCCCTTTCTGCTTAAAAATTTCAGTCATTCTACAGTGACTTTTCAAATTGATGAAAGATGATTCTAGTCCTTTTAATCTCTGTAATAATACCCATTTCCATTTAAAAAAATCTTTCACTCACTCTGTTATTAAATACTTCTTTGGTTTATCATCTTGGTGTTAGAAGTATCTTCCTATACTTTGCCTATTTGTTTTTGCCCCACATGAGTAAACTCAGCACCTCATTAGGACCTCCCCCAAAGAATCCACTCACAGAGACCTATTGGTAACAAATGGGGACTTTATGGAAGATTTCACCTGAGACAGAAACAATACCCAAGGGGTGTCTCCCTTGGACACTCTATTCTCCCAAAGTTTTGGGGAGGGCTCTCTTCCTTCTCCCTTCCCCCACTCCCTACCTCTGACTTTTCTCTCCCTAACTAGACAGTGCAGGTCCTTCTGGTCCAGCTCCTCTGCCAGCCTCATAGTTGCCCTTGTGGAGCAGGGTTTCAGCAAACTACCACTTTAGCCGAATCTGTCCACAGCTAAGGATGGTTTTCACACTCTCTAGAGTTCTTTTTTAAATAAAAAAATGTATTTCAGAACATGTGAATATTATATAAAATTTAAATTAAAAACAGATTAGAAAGGCATGCTCATTTATTTGTTCATAAATAAACCCTGCTTATTCATATCACCTGTGGCTGCCTCCCCACTGCAACGGTAGCACTGACTGGTTGCAGAAGTGAGTGGTCCAACATACCACATGGCCCACAAAACCTAAAATATTTACTATCTGACCCTTTACAGAAAAAGTTTGCCGACTCCTCCACAGAGATACCCTCCACCAAAAAGACATGTCAAAGTATGTCGTCAACACAAACTATGAGATGAGAAGAAATCCACATGGATGACACACACATTTTTGTGTACATATGTACTTTGGGGCATGTAGAAAGGTGTTGCCTACTACTGGAATGAACAAAAGTTTGGGCCATGGACCCAGAGTGCTCCCTTACACCTCCCAGCAGCCCATAGGGGCTTTTACTAGACACACCGGGCCTCATCATCTGAAAAACATGCAGACTTCTTCAGTACTAAATTTTGGTTTTATGTTTAAAGTTAGTTATTATAATAGAACAAACTACTTCTTCTTCTTAGATTTAATTCACTTTCAACTAAACTTTGTGAGGAAGTTGAGAACAATAAAAAATGGACTGAAAACCGCTTCATCAAATATGAAAAAGACCACCTCAGCCATATAAATCAGTGTCTGAAGCTCCTACAGGAGAAACTGGTAAGGAGTTCTACCGTTCACAAAATGAAACAGCGCATGGTCATAATCTAGGTGTTAGCGACGAGTGAAGGTCTTGAAAGTCACACTTTGGCATTTATAGTAACCTGTGTCAAAACAACCTTTTTTTTTTTGCATTGGACTAGGAATCCAGAGGCTTGCCTTCTGGTCCTGTTTGCTATTCCCCAACTCTGTGAACCCACACTTCTCGGAATGTGCTCTACCTGTACCAGAATAACCTAAACAGAGTTTGTTTTTAATACAGATTCCTGGTCCCAACCCAGAGCTGAGGCGTCAGGCCCTCTGGGGCTGCCCCCTGGGAATCTGTGTTTCTAGGCAAGCTCCCTGGGTGATGCTTAGATACAGTAGAGCCTGAAAACGTCTGCCTTCAGCAAGACAAAGTTCTGTCTTACCTCTCCAGAGAGCCATTAGTAGATCAAAGTTTTTCAAAACTTTCTTTCCAGATCAGACCTTGTAGAGAAAACCCCAGCTTTGGGGTAAGACTACCAGGATATAAGGTAAACTTACTCATTGTAGTGCTTCCTTCTCCTACTCCAAACAGCACAGCCAGGCCCACCACTGCGCTCCAATGGGAGAGCAGCCATCCACGTCATCAGTGGCGGCCAGCCTTGCAGGTGATTCAAATATGTTTCTGTATCTTTGGTAGAGTGACTTTAGGCAGCCCAGTAAATAATGCCTGTGTACCCTGACCTAAGTTTGTAAACGACTGACAGAGACAGGAATCCAAGAGAGAGATGCACATTATAGTTTTAACACATATAAAGCTATTAAAGTTTGTACAGTCAGATCTGCAACCAAGTGGGCCTGCTGGTTCTTCTACCCAGATTTAGGCTGATGCCTCCACCAGTTCTAGCATAACTATGTGATAACAGGTGACCTGGAAGCAGAAGCCTAACATGACGAGGAAGACAAAGACAGGAGACTGGACTCTACCATTCCTCAGGCAGGCAGGCCCAAAGAGAGGACAACCAAGGGGGCCAAACCAGTGTCACTAACTTCAGCACCCAAATTCCCTGTTAGGTATGAAGAAGTAGCAAAGAAGCCAATTAGCCTCAGGCAGTTTCTGCAGTCCCCACCTCAATGCACTTTAGAATCACCTGGAGACCTTCTAAACCACACAAATTCTTGAGCTCCATCACAGATAAATTAAATTTTGAAGGTGTTGTGATGGTCCAGGTGATTCCAATGGACAGCATGGGTGGGAAATCACTATTCTAGCTGAAGTGTTTTCCACATGGATGTATGAAGCTCAGGAGGTATGAACACCTAACAGGAGCATGTCCAAGGAGCTCAGGTTAAGCAGCATCTAAAACACCTTCTTTGACTACTTTTCTTTAAAAAGGAGACTGTAATTCCAATTACACAGCCCTTTCTTTTCTTTTCTCTCGTAACTGGAATGCCAGAAACTACAAACAAGGACAAAACAAAGGGATTAACCCTACACTTGTGAACACAGTTTAAGATGCTTGCAAAGGAACTTGTAAAAGGAAACTTGGTTGAAATTCTTATGTTCAACATGGAAAAGTGAATTTGTTAAAAACATTCTCTAAACTGGAATACAAATCCACATAGATTTTCTTCTCTGCAGAGTTTTATCACATGCTATCTTTTATAGGAAAATTCTGAAAATAAAATGGAAGAAAAATTACTGCAGCTTTCAAGCAAATTAGAGCATTTCATTAACACAGAGAAACAGACAGCAGAACTAAACAAAGTAAAGCACACAGAAAATAAACTGTCCAAAAAGATGAACCAACTGGAAAAGCAAATCTGGGGTGAATTAGAGAAAATGCAGAATGAGTATCAATCAGGTGAGCAGTTACTTTTGTCTAAGAATATCAGTTCTTTCCTATCCAATTCATTGGAGTTTTCTACTTTGAGCTAATGCCCAAGAATCAGTCTTGTCATCACTGACATCCTTTTGAATTTAATCCAACTTTCCTAAATATCCCATACCATGTCCATATACCACTGACAGGTAGGTACATAAGTTCACTTTCTTCATTCACATATTTGGCAGTGCCACTTGCTTGCCTCTGCTGTGAGGTTTTCTTACTAAGATCACAGAATCATAGAATTTTTAGACTTGGAAAGTCCTTGGAGATCATCAAGACCTGACTTGTGGGTTTATCATGAAATTAGGAGCCTAAATAAAATGCCCCTCATCTAAGTGCAGGTAATGAGCCTGGACAGATGTCAGACTGGAAACCTGACCTTTAAAAGTTTGAAAGAGATGAATTAATAGAGTCGGTATAATGACTGTTTTTCTTCTTAAGGAGGTTAATGGCAGCAGTGTCAAGCTGAGCTAACATCAAAGAGGATTAATTTGAAAAGCTCATCTAATTTGTCAAAGGGAAGGACACACACAGAATAGGTGCTGTGGAGAAGCCATCTGCCTCAAGTCACAATTCTGAGGGAATTACCAGGAATCAGGTTCCTTTTTTAGAGAAAGCCCCAATTCATTTTCTGTCCTCTAGCTCTCAGAAAAACTGTAAATTCTACCAAAGCTTGGTCCTGCATAGAGATGCCTTGAAGGTGTTGTGGGGAGACATCAAGGTCTCATTTTGTCAGATGCTGCTAGCATGTAAGTAAAATTTGCTGCTAGCATATAAGTAAAATTTGCTGCCAGGCAATCTAACCCTCATTGCCCCTATCCCCAGCTCCCACCACCAAATCAAAAAATTACCTGGCCAGGAATTACGACCCAAACTTAACTGGCCCTTCTTTAGGGCCCTGCTTTCTATTTAATTACCAGAGGTTTAATTTTATTCATTCCATTAGTATAACCCCAGGATGAGCTGAAGAAGAATTTGCAATCTACATGTTCCTATATTTTACTAACTGGGAGTTCTAGCAAAGGAGGGTTCCAAATTAATGGTTTGCTCTTGTATGGCTTAAATTAAAAATGTGTTAAGAAATGACTGTGTGAAAGGCCCAGTGAATAAGATGGGCTGCAACCCAAGAAGCTTGAGTTGTGGTAAGTCTATGGCCATGAGTGACTAGGCTTGCATAAAAGAGATACAAAGTTTTGGGGGGCAGGGTGTGAGACGGAGGGGGCCATTGGGGGTAGCAGCCAGTGGCCACTCTTTAAGTCCCTCAAACAGGTTACTTTGAGAGAAGTTTTAAAAACTCACCTGTGGTCTTTACCTTCAATTGGTACCGAGAGATTACCCATATCTCTTGTCAAAGTATACAGAAAGAAGAAAATATTATAAATTTCTTGAAATAAAGAATTATTTCACTATGCAATCTATTTGGGGGGAAGAGAAGGAGAAGAACTTACCTGAAATTTCACAGTGGGGCCAGATACAAGTTGAAAAACATTACTGCTAATGCATCTTCCAGACAAATAAGAAATAGATTATTGTACATTTTTAGACTGGTCTTAATGGAATTTAATATGCTTTGATTTAAACCATGATCCATTACAGAACCAAATAGCAACCTTTATTTTTTAAAAAGGTTCCAATACATTGTTTAAATATACCTATTTTCATACCCTCTTCTAGGATTTAGATCAATTCATGACTCTCTCAATTCACTCCAACAAATACAGAAGACAAAGATGGATTTAGAGAAATACAAAGTACAGAAAGACCTAAAGAAATTACAGCGTGAGCTAGTGGAACTGCAGGAAGTATAAAATTTTGCAGCCATCTGTTTCACCAGTCAATGGAGTGGTTTGTTGGTAAAAGAAGGGAAGAAGAAAATTATTACCTCTGGGATGTTTTCTGCTTCTAAATCTCTGTATTTCTTACCACATTTTAAAAGAGATGAATGTACCAGAAAACCCAAGAAAGGAAAGAAGCTTTATGATGTCTTTCATTTATCAATGAAAAACTTATGGAATTTTTTTACATACCTGTCTTTTTATATTTTTATTTGCCTACAAATAAAAGAGAGCAACCTACATAATTTACATAAATGAGTGAAATAGGTCTATTATAATACATTAAAGAATGGTGGGAACTGTGGCAAAGTGGAGACCTGTCCAAAAAGAACGTCACTATGCAATTCGAGTTCATTATTAGCATGTATATAATCCAAGTGTCAAAATTTTCATTTTTCAAGAGAAACCAACAATCTGGTTTTATATGAAACCATCCATAAGCATTAGCAGCTAGTTCAAAATAGTTTTTAAACTGTAAGGGAATGTCTGAGGGGCAGATACAGACCTTGGGCTTGTCAAATTGCAACCTCTGATGAGAGGCTTTTGTTTTTCAGTAATCCCAATATTTGTAGCAATTCTAACATAGGCATATTTAATATATTGATTCATTGTACTCAATATATATCAAGAACCCTTAGCTTATAATGTTTAGATTGACAAAAATTAAAGTGATTTATAATATTGGGTTAGCAAGGGTATAGAGAAATGTGCACTCTTAACATTATTGGTATCTAAATTAATATAATTAGAGGACAATTAGAAAACCATTTTTAAATGTACATAATCTATTACCACTAATAGGTATCATGTAAATCTACATACCTATTACCATTTTTAAATGTACATACCCTGGAATTCTACAGCTTAAAAATTACACTAGAGGGGAAAAAAAACATATCAAAGTATGCACAGATATATAAAAAAGAATGCTCATTAAAGCATTATTTGTTAAAGTAAAAATACTGAAAACAGTCTAAATATAAGGAATTGATCAACTGAATTAATGATATCACCAGACAAAAAAATGGTATCTAGCCCTTAAAAAGAATACAGAAAGATATTAAAGATACACTGTTAGGTAAAAAAAGCAAGTTGCAAAGCAATATGGATATGATCCCACTTGTGATTAAAAAAATATTTTTAAATAAGTTGAACAGAATAATCACACTACATGCAAAAAAAAGTACGATTTTACAGCAAACTTAGGAGAATGGATTATGAAGATTTTTTTCTACATTAAGCATTTATTATTGCTTTTATATTATTACAAGGTGATATTTTGTTTCCAGTAAAAATATTTTTTAAAAACCACCACCACAACAAATATAATACTAGGCTGGAAGAGTAACTCTATAATGTATTAACTAAGAGGTTGTAGGAAGTGTTAAATAAGGAATTTATATAGACCAGGGGCCAAGTCACCTCACTCATACCCATTTTTTACTCTATAAAAAGCTGCAAAAGCAGCAAGAATATATAGCAAGTGGTGGAAAAAAAGATGCTGATGTAAAATCTTATAAGCAAAACACCCTAAACCAACTGTAGTTGAAATAACAGTGCAGAATCAACCCAAAAGTTTTCCCTAATGAGTCTCTCTCAGTGGTGTTGACAGGGTAGTACCATGTAGAACTGAATGTAATTCAAGAGGCCAAGGGATCAAAGGATCCTTTCCCAGCAATCTCTTGCTTAGAATCCCTAGCTGCGGTGTTTACAGACTGACAGACTCTGGAAGGCCTGAGAGTGATGCCTAGTGAGAAGGTGGATCCAGGGTTTCTAGGGCCTAAAGTTTATACAGTTTTGACTTGTTGATGTCCTGTCCTGTCAGACAGTAGATTGTAGGACTATTCCTGGAAGCAACTGCTACCTCAGGACAATGAAACTCTGTACAGAAGTGACTGTGAACAACATAAATATATCCCCCAAATGGATCCCCAACTCAACTTCTCTTTAGCTGGATCCAAAGATAACCACAGCCACTAAGGAGCACCTGACATCAACAGAAGTGGGAGTGACAGTGATCTTTAACAATGGTCTCATTGTACTTAAAATGCTTTACTTCTACAATTTTACAACAACCTTGTAAACACATTGCTAGGGCTCATGTGAGGGAGGGGTCCTGGAGCTCAAGAGCCACTGTTTCACAGTACATGCACCTCAGCTCAGGGGCCCAGTGGGGCCCCGAACGTCACCACCTTTGTATTTATTTTGCCATGGATCTAAATAGATGACAGGGATAAACAATCCTCTACAGAAGCTCAATATGGCACTTTATTCTGTATCAAACAATGACCCTTAATCCTTTGGGAAATGTCAGACTTCTCTCTCCACAAATACAGAAGATGTTTGAGCATCATAGAATCTTCCAGAGCCACTCTGTGAACTTGAAACATTTGTTACAATACCTCAGAAAGTCCTCCCTTTAGGCACAAATGCCATCTAAGCAGGCTTGGATATTCCAATGGTCCTGCTGCCTCCCAGAATTTCCTGCCATTTCTTTCCTCTTACCAAAACCTGCTCTTGTGGTGGGGAGGGGAATCATAGGAAATTATTTATATTGAGGACTAATGGTAATATGTTCAAAGTATTTTGCTTCCTTATTGAAGATGAAGTATAAATCCCTCACCTTATGCTACACAGGTAAATACCTTCTCAGCTTCACTCTGAGGTGGATATGCTAATATAATACATCACCTGATGGCCAGGAGAGCAATAAGGCCCAAGGTGAAAAAATTAGCATTCCCAGAGTGCTCTGGACACCAGCAGCCTCTCCTCTTCTACACACACACACACACACACACACACACACACACACACACACACACAATACCTGTGCTTTTAACCTTATGAAGAAGGTCTCCAAACTTAGATGAGATATTTCCTTTTATATCTTTGCAGTCTCCACCCATTCATGTACTAGGCACTGGGGATACAATATTGAACCTTAGGAAACTTGTAGTCTGGTGGAAAGGACTACAATAAACTTGGAAACACAAAGGCAAGTAAAGGAAGCACCTGGAGAGGCATTAAGCATAGACACAAGGAACCTGGCAGGGGCATCTTCTGGAAGGAAACTGAGACCTCTGAAGTTCATTAGCCAAGGGAAAGGGGCTTGACTGGTAGAGGTGGTGGCTCAGGTAGATGGAGCAGCCTAAGCAAAGGCCTGGACCCCAAGGGAATGGAACACATGCCAGGAATTTTAAGAGGTTCAATAAGGCCAGAACCTAAAGTGCATGACGTGGGAGATGGAGGTGGAGGGTGAGAGAATGGGGAGGTGATTGGTAAAAAGGAAGGCTAGAGAAGTTAGGGGAATTGGGGTGTCATCACAGGGGACCTTATAACTCATGCTGAGGAACTTGAACTTTATATTCAGGTCCCAGAGTAGCCTTTGTAGGATTTTAAATAGGAGAGTGACATAATCAGATTTGCATTTTAGAGAGCTCCCTTTGGTTGTAGGGTGGAGAATAAATTATAGACACAATGAGAAAAGCAAATGAGGATAGAAAAAGAGGGAGATGATGCAGGAGAGAGGGCCTAAAGAGCTCAGTTTTAATTTAACTGATTTTGAGCTATCTATGGGATATTCAAGTGGAGATGTCCAGTGGTTAGGGAGAGAGATATCTGGAGCACAAGAGAAAGATCTAAACTGAGGATTTAGCATAGAAGTAGTTATTGAAGTTATGAGTGAGGAAGGAAGAGTTTGCTTGGGGTTGGGAGAGGTGGAAGTCAGCTACATTTGTCTGACCTGGTCAAGAATTATTTCTCCATCAGAGTCAAGAGACCTCCCGCCTGGGGTGAGCTTTCACCTGGTGGGCAGGGGGAACCTCCCCAGATGCAGCTGCCTGACAATAGCAGGACTGTTGCCAGGAAAATATCAGGCTGTCTGGCCTCTACCCAGCTTGGCATTTCCCTCTCCAGGAGACTAGAATCACACACATTTGTGGTAAAGGTTTGTTATTCTCAGATCTTTCCCTTAATACTCAGTGGTAAAAATGTCTAACTTCACAGACTAAATTTCCATAAACCTTGTTCCTTGGTAGAGTTCTGCTTCTTCATTTTTAGAAGATATTCACACATGTGATAAATGTTTTGAGTAAAAAGAATGACTGATATGCTCAGCAGTATGTCATGAACAAGGTCCTTTTTTACAGTCCCAAAAACACAAACTGAGCAACTGAAAAATAATCCAAACTGCTATGCTGAGAAGTCTTCAGGGTCCTGAGGTCTGACAGACGTGAGTCTAAAACCACTGCTACCAGTCACTCTGCGTGACTTTGGATGTGTTCTTAGAGTCTTAGTTTCCTCATCTTAAAATGGGGATAACAAACAAAAAAGAAATAGACCCATAAATACTGATGACAGACTGCTGGTTACCATCGGGGGTAAAATAGGTGAAGGGGATAAAAAGGTAAAAACTTCAAATTATAAAATAAATTAGTCACAGGAATGGAAGTACAGTATAGAGAATATAAGCAATAATAGTGTAGTATCCTAGCATAACAACAAGGGGTAACTACATTTACCATGGAGAGCATTAATAATATACATAATTATCAAATCACTACGTTGTACATCTGAAACAATATATTGTATATCAACTATATTCCAATTAGAAAAATAAAAATTAAAGAATGGGGATAACAATACACAAATTGGAAGAATTAGAAAAATATTTATTGAGCTATTACCAACTATCAGAGACTACTCTAGGCACTTTGCCTCATTTAATCCTCCAAACATATGCCTATTGCTGAGGACACAGAGAGATTAGGTAATTTATGTAAGGTTACACTGCTAGTAAGAGGTAGAGCCAGGATTTAAACTCATCAGTCCAGGAAACTGCTCTTAAACATTCTGCTATATTGCTATATTGCTTTTCTAAATATACATAGACATTCTAATGCAGTATCCAATATATAGTAGTTATTGTACTTGATAAATGGTACTGATTAGTAATAATAAACAGAGCTTTTAATTTTTATGGGAAAGACAAGTTTGACAGTATTCTTTAATCCAACTCTGGTTCAGATAAATATCTAAAAGTACATGAGTTC